GTGTCTCAGAATGGCATCTGGAGGCAAACCAACCTATAATGGCCCTCGGTTAGGAAACCTTGGGTTTAGATCTCGCCGCCACCAAAGATCTGCCGACCAGGAGGTCTCAGAGGCCAGCGTCCCCAGCCCTGGGCTCATCTCATTGAACAACTGTGGCCAGGTGCCTGGGAGGGACCAGTTTCTGAACCTATGTCAGGCCTTCAGAGACTGGCTGAAGCCAGAGAGGAACAGCAAGCAGGAGATGATTGCCTGCCTGGCACTGGAGCAGTTCCTGCTCAGCAGGGCCCAGGGAGAACGGGCCGCGTTGCAGCGGAAGTGGGAGGCGTGTGGCAGAGACCTGGAGTCGTTTGTGGAGGACCTGGATGATGGGGACCTGAGGCCCGCTGGCTTGGTGAGTGGACTGTTCTGACCCCTGGGGTGAGGGACAGAGCAGAAAAAGGAATTTTTAAAAAATATATATTTTTTTTATTGATTTTTTACAGAGAGGAAGGGAAAGGGATAGAGAGCTAGAAACATCGATGAGAGAGAAACATAGACCAGCTGCCTCTTGCACACCCCCCACTGGGGATGTGCCCACAACCAATGTACATGCCCTTGACCAGGAATCAAACCTGGGACCTTTCAGTCCGCAGGCTGATGCTCTATCCACTGAGCCAAACCGGTTTCAGCAGAGAAAGGAATTGTACATTCTGTTGAGGCAGGGGGGGAGGGGGCACAGAGGTGGGCAACAAGCTACTACTATAGGCCCAGTTATTAGTCTTCATCAAGGGGGGTACTTTAAAATATATATATATTAAATTCAGATAGATTTAATATATATTAAATTCAGAGAGGGAGAGATAGAAACACCAATGATGAGAGAAAATCCATCATTGATCAGCTGCCTTTTGAAAGCCCTCTACCTGGGATGGAGCCCACAACCCAGGCATGTGCCCTGACTGGGAAGAGAACCATGGCCTGGCTCATGTGTTGACACTCAGCAACTGAGTCACCGTGGCCGGCTGCCATTTTTATTTGGAATAGTTCTTATTCATTTCAGAGAAGAAGGGAGAGGAAGGGAGAGATAGAAACCTCAATTATGAGAATCATCCATCAGCTGCCTCTTCAACGTTCCCTACTGGGGATGGAGCCTGCAACCTGGGCATGTGCCCTGACTGGGAATCGAACTGGTTCAAAGGTCAATCAATGCTCAGCCCGGCATCCACTCTCCCTAAAAATCAATGGAATAATATCCTTGCGTGAGGATTAAAAAAATAAAAATAAACAAATAAAATACATTCACGACGGAGCAGAAACCTCCAGGATGAGAAATAACTGAAGGAGAGCCGCTTCCTCCCTCAGAAAGGGCAGGACCATGCTGGGCTGGGGAGGAGGCAGTGAGGGGTCCTGGGAAAGCTGGAGGGGAGGGGGAAGGGTTCCCACCCAGGGTTCCGTGGCCGTGGGGATGCGGCGCTGACAGTGACCAGGCTGTGTTCACAGGTCCACGTCCAAATGTGGGGGCAGGAAGCCCTGTTTCCGGAGAACATGCCCATAGGACAGGTCATGGCCTACTTCCTGGAGCAGCACTCAGCAGCGGCCCCCACAGCGTTCACCCCGGGGACTCCCTCCCGGACTCCCCCAGACACACCACGGCCGACAGCACCAGGTGAGCGAGAGGGCCCGGGGTGCCGGAGGGCTGGTCTGTGTGCACTCTGTCTTGGGTGCAGTTTCTCATATTTAGATTATTTTGTATTTATTTTTATTATTGAAAAGTTTTATTTCTTTTTTTTAAAAAAAATAATACTTTATTGATTTTTTACGGAGAGGAAGAGAGAGGGATAGAGAGTTAGAAACATTGATCAGCTGCCTCTTGCACACCCCCCACTGGGGATGTGCCCACAACCAGGGTACATGCCCTTGACTGGAATCGAACTTGAGACCTTTCAGTTCGCAGACTGATGTTCTATCTACCGAGCCAAAAACGGTTTCAGCGAAAAGTTTTATTTCTTTCTTTTTATTTTGTAGTTGCTAATCCTCTCCCGGGGATATTTTTCAATTGATTTTTTTAAATATATTTTTTATTGAGATTTTACAGAGAGGAAGGGAGAGTGATAGGGAGCTAGAAACATCGACCAGCTGCCTCCTGACACCCCCTATCAGGGATGTGCCCACAACCAATGTACAAGCCCTTGACTGGGATCGAACCTGGGACCTGTCAGTCTCCAGACTGACACTATCTTCTGAGGTAAACCAGTCTCGGCTTCAATTGGTTTTTATAGAGAGTGGAAGGGAAAGGGAGAGACTCTCTATTCCTCTCCCTTCCTCTCTGGATCAGTAAATATATATTTAAATAGAATAATTTCCGAAACCAGTTTGGCTTAGTGGATAGAGAGGAAGGGAGAGGAATAGAGAGTTAGAAACATCGACGAGAGAGAAACATTGATCAACTGCCTCATGCACACCTCCCGTTGGGGATGTGCTCGCAACCAAGGTACATGCCCTTGACCAGAATCGAACCTGGGGCCTTTCAGTCCACAAACCAATGCTCTATCCACTGAGCCACACAGGTTAGGGCTCATTGGTGTTTCTGTCTCTGTATCTCTCTCCCTTCCTCTCTGTAAAAAAACCCTATTAAATACATAAATACATACATACATACATACATACATACATAAATAAATAACTGACCTGTGGAACTTGTTAAGAAAAATAAAAATAGAATCATTGATCGGGGATTGAGCCCACTATCCCAAATGTGCTCTTTGCTGGGAATGGAACCCAGGACCCTCTGGTCTGCAGGCCGACACTGGATCCCCTGAGCCAAGGGTGTGGGCGCAGGCTCACGGACACCCTTTGTTTCCACAGGACACGCAGGGGAACAGGGCGGCAACCTTTCCAGGGAAGACCACCGGCCCCCCTCCCTGCTCATCCTCCAGGGAGAGAGCCTCCCGGGGCCCACAGAGGGCGCCGCGTCCTGGGAGAGTCCACGCAGCCCCAGGGCAGCCAGTCCGGGCGCCTCCACCCAAGAGGAGACCCAGGAGATCTTGGAGGAGACCATGGAGGACACCATGGAGGACACCATGGAGGACACCATGGAGGAGACGCTGGAGGAGACCAGGGAGGAGACCAGGGAGGAGACCCCGGAGGAGACCAAGGAGGACATCCTGGAGGAGACCCTGGAGATCCTGGAGGAGACCCCGGAGGAGACCAGGGAGGAGATGCTGGAGGACACCAGGGAGGAGATGCTGGAGGAGAACCGGAAGCCGGAGGGCGGAAGCCCGGGCACCACCCGGAAGCTATACTCGTGTAACCGGTGTCCCAAGGTCTTCAGGTACTTATGCCGTTTCCGGCTCCACGAGAGGAGACACAACAACGAGCGGCCCTTCGTCTGCGCCGAGTGCAGCAAGGGCTTCTTCCAGGCCTCGGACCTGAACGTGCACCTGCGGACCCACGAGGAGGAGAAGCGATTCCACTGCCAGGAGTGCGGCAAGGCCTTCAGCCACAAGACAAACCTGGTGGCCCACCAGCGCATCCACTCGGGCGCCAGGCCCTACGAGTGTCCTCGGTGCAGGAAGGCCTACCGCCAGTCCTCCACCTACCACCGCCACCTGCGCATGCACCAGAGGAGGGACTCTGCATCCGGGGCCTCCACATCCGGGGCCTCTACATCCAGGGCCCCCGTATCCCCCACATCCGGGGCCTCCGTATCTGGGGCCTCCGCATACCCCACGTCCAGGGCCTCCACATCTAGGGCCTCTGGATCCGGGGCCTCGGCATTCGGGGCCTCCGCATCCGGGCCCTCCGCATACCCCACATCCAGGGCCTCCACATCCGGGGCCTCTGCAACTGGGGCCTCTACATCCAGGGCCTCCGCATCCCCCACATCTGGGGCCTCCACATCCGGAGACTTCATGCCCTGAGCCTCTCCCCCCAGAGGACACCCAGCCCTGTGCTTCCTCCCTGTAAATGTGTATATGTGTGTAGATATATTTATTGTGGAGAGTGAGAGAGAAACGTCAGTGACCAGAGAGGATCATGGATCAGCTGCCTCCTGCACGGCCCCCCACTGGGGATCAAGCCCCCAACCCCTCAAAGGGGCATGTGCCCTGGGAAGTGTCTGACACGGTTCCCATGACCAATAAATCGTTGTTGAGTAGATGAACGTGTGTTGTTTATTTCTTAAAATCCAGAAGTGTTGTCTGGGGGGGTGCGGAAATCAGCTCCCAGGGTCAAGGGAGGTACATCAATGGAAAGATGTACACAAATAATGCCTTTATTCAAAAAATGGGGAAAAATTAATGCTCCTACTGGGATCTATTGTAGTTCCCCAATCTGGGCATGTGCTCTGACCAGGAATCTAACCATCCATCTCTTGGTTCATGGGTCTTCATCCAACCACTGAGCCACCCAGGGAAGTCACACTATTCTCATTAATTGTTGCATCTAGCACAGGTGTCCCCATGTCCCTTCTCCAGTCCCCTTTGCTTCCCTCTGTGCTGCCCAACCACTTGTAGGCCCTCACCACATTACTGTCTATGTCCAACTGGTATGCATATATGTATATACTTCTAAAATATACATTCTTTGATTTTTAGAGAGAGCAAAGGTCAGGGAGGGTGAGAGAAAAAAGATATCAATGATGAGAGAGAATCTCTGGGGATTAAGCCCACAACTCAGACATGCGCTCTGACTGGGAATATTACCATGACCTGGTTCAGAGGTTGATGCTCAACCATTGAGCAACACCAGATGGGCTATATTAATTAATTGTTTTTCATTTTTTTATATTAATTTTTAAACATTAAAAATATGTATTTTTGTTGTTGTTGTTGATAGAGTTATGGATGCCTCCCATTCCCCGCCTGTGTATATAGTCTTTGTTGGATCTCCTCCCTTCTTCCTCACCCCTTCCCTTGGGAGGTCTGTCCGTCTGTCCCAGTTAACCATGCTCCTGTTCCTTCTTGTCCTTCCGCAGAGCTATTTGGGGTACCGCCACACCTTTATTCACAGGTAATTAGCTGGGATGCAAATTCTCCCCTGGACGGTGGAGAAAACTACATTACCCAGAAAGCATTGCGCTCGCGTAGGCGGAGGTAAAGGGAATCATGGCGCCTTCGCATCCGGTTAGGGCGGGACTTCCGGCATCCTCCTCGCGGCGGACATTTTGAATCCTTCTGTTCCCTGGACTCACGCGCTTCAGCGCATCGTTCGGGAGTAGGTTCCACGTCGAAGACGCGTGGGAGGCGGCGTCCTCTCTGCGCTGGGGTGTCTCTGAGGCGGGGGGACCCCACCCGGCGGGACTGGGTCCCCGGGCCCCCGCCTCCTCCCGCGGACACAGCGCCCTCAGCGGCCCCGGCGGCCCTCCCGCCTCGGGGCGGCGCCGCTCAGGCCGCAGCCCAGGCCGCCGCCCGGAGCAGTGAGTGCCCGTGGGGGCCGCAGGGGCGGGCGGGGCCCGGGAGGCCGGGGCGGAGGGGGGCGGCCGGCCTGTGTGTCTAAAGGGACCGGGGCTTCCGGAGGAGCCTGTCCTCCTCAGGGCCGGGCTGGCTGTGCGCTCGGAGGGACGGAGCCCGAGGGGGCGGCGGCCCCGGGGCTGGGCCAGGCCCCGAGCAGCCTGGGCCCCGGGTCCTGGCGGCGGAGCCGGGCCCTCAGCGCCTTCCGCTCCCACAGGCCCTGCGGTCAGAGCCGCTCAGGGGCCGGGCTGTGGGCTGAGGTCAGGGCCTCCCACTGCGGGGGCCTCAGGCTGTGGGGCCTGGGCTGTCCAGCCGCTCCTCCTGCCCCGGGACCTGCAGACCCTCAGCCCAGGGTCCTGAGGCCACGGCTAGGGCTGTAGGAAGTGGACCCTGGTTTGGGCACCGGGTGGGTGAGATGTGGGGGGTGGTCTTCTCAGGAGAAGGTACCAGGATGTGTAGAGGCTGGGGGTGATGACTAAGCTGGCTCAGCAACTGGCAGGTGCACTTAAAATATTGTTCCTAGTTGTTTTGGCTCGGTGGCTATAGCATCAGCCTGCAGACTGAAGGGTCCTAGGTTTGATTCTGGTCAATGGCACACGCCCCGGTTGGGGACTCATCCCACAGTAGATGCTTTCAGGAGGCAGCCGATCAGTCATTCTCATCATTGATGTTTCTAACTCTTCCTCTCCTTTTCTCTATGAAATCAATAAAATAAAAAAATGTTTAAAAGTAATAAAGTTAAAAAAAATAAAAATTTATCTATATATACTTTTATTCTGATTTTAGTTGTAGAAAGGGAGAGGGGGAGAGAGAAACATCCATGAGATAGAAACAAGGATCAGTTCCCTCCTACATGACCACTACAGGAATCCAGTCCCAACCCCAGTCAGGGGACCTGACTGGGACTGGTGTGTATCTGTGACTTCTGAGTGCACTGGTTGATGCTCAATCAACTGAGTCACGTCAGGTTACTATAGGGAATCACGTTAATACTGCGAATTATGGTCAGGATGGTAATGGCCTTAATAGCTCACATGGGACAGTGTGAGCCTGAGGACTGGTTTCCTGCTGGGCCCCTGTTTGAGGGAGGTGAGCGTCACAGCACAGCAAAGGGTCAGGGGTGGTCATGTAGTGTCGGGGAAAGATAATGGTTTCCCAGTGGCCAAGGCCTTTAAAAGATGAGTGGACATGAGATGAATTGGAGACCAAAGAGTAACACACAAGAGGAGACTAGGGCTGGTACATAGTTACTTCTCTTCACACTCACCAGGTTTTGCTGTGACTCTTGGTGTGGCTGGGGGGTGGCAGTTAGTCTTGTGGGTTAGCTTAGAGGCCTGAGTGGTCACCTGTGAGACGCACAGGACACCTGGGCTAGGACTTGAGTGATGGGTACATGGAGAGATGGTGGCTGTGCCTGGTGAAGGGACATCAAGTGCAGCACCAGGGAAGGGCGCTCTGGGTGTCTGAGATCTGATGTGGTTCCCAGTAGGTGAGGTTGAAGGAAAAAAATGTTCATGGAGAGAAGCCTTCATAGCAGGACTCAAAGCTGCCACTAGGAGTGTAGACTCTCAGAGTCTGGGCAGGACTTGATCCTGTTTGAATTTGGCAGGCATTCTCTGGACCATACCTGCTGAGGAATGAGTAAGAGGCCAAGGACATGCCTATGGGAGCTGGGCAGTGGGAGTGCAGGAATGAGAGAGGTGTGGGAGAAAGAGTATGTGCACATGGAGAGGGAGTGTGAATTCATGGCCATGGTCCTGACATTGACAGAAGAGTGAATGAAGGGTGAACCAATTTCTGGTAAGGTCTGGGTGATACAATAAGGGGAATTTTAATTGATTTATTTTTAAAATATATTTTATTCTTTTTTTTTTTTTTTTTTTTTTTTTTTTTTTTTTTTTTTTTTTTTTTTACAGAGAGGAAGGGAAAAGGATAGTAGTTGGAAACATTGATGAGAGAAACATCAGTTCCCTGCCTCCTACAACTCCCCCCCCCCCCCCCCAATATGTGCCTGCAATCAAGGTACATGCCCTTGACCAGAATTGAACCTGGGATCCTTCAGTCTGCAGGCTGATGCTCTATCCACTGAGCCAAGCCAATTAGGGCAATAAGGGGAATTTTAGGCTAATTTCCTGAAAAGAGGGGTGTTGTGGTGCAACTACCAGGGCGTAGCCATTTATCTGCCCACCTTCCATTTGTTGTGATGGCTGGCACAGTGATCCATAGGAATGAGATAGCATACATCAGTGTTACTCAGGCTTGAAAATCTTCACTGGCATGCATAAGGGAGAAGGGGAAAAGAGAAAGATTATGGAGGAGGTGAACTTCAATTTTGAAAAAGGTGATTAGGAAACAAGTTGTCCTCGGCACGGAAAGTTTGTGTTATCTTTGAAGGTGTCCCTGTGGGAATGAAGCTGTGTGAGAGAAGTATTGTTCAAAGAACTATGTGCATCAGGTAGTGCAGAGTGATGGCCTCAGCATCCTGGGTTTGGGATTGTAAGTGTGAAGTGTGATGCCATGTTTTTGGTGTCTTTGGAGGGATCTTCTGGGGGATTGCCTGACATAACCAGTGTCAATCACTCACAGTCCCTTTATGGCCAATATCTCTCCTTACCCTATGTTCTTGACACCCACTCTATTGACAAGAGGCACTGTGGTCTACATGTCAGGCCCAGAGCTCAGGTATCTTTTCTCTGTTCAACTGCCTTTATTGTTGTGGGAAGACAAAATATCAGCAGGAATTTAAGACGTAAGTGACTTTCATGGGACCACGGCCTGCTATCGTCTCCAATGTGGGAGCAGAGGCAGTAGATGGATGTGGAGGGCCAGAGATATTACACACTTGGAATCTTAGGAAAGAAGCTGATCATGGACTGAGCTTTCCCCTTCGTGACAGGATATGAACTTTGAAGTTGCGGCCATTGTCTTCTCTCAGGAGGAGTGGGGGATGCTTGATGAGGCTCAGACTTCTGAACTGTGATGTGATGCCAGGGTGTTCTGTACCTGTGTGTTTCTGGGCTTGTGGAAGCTGTTTCCTGTGCATTTGTGTGTGTCTGCACCCTAGAAACAAGCAAATGCATAGGCATTCTCTTCCGCGATGATGCAGAGGACAATGTGTTCTTTCTCCTCCTGCAGGCTGAGCCCTTAATGCCTCTGCTCTTCCAGGTGTCTGCTGTTCCTATGGGGAATCCCATCTCAGGTTCCAAGAATGGATGAAGTGAAGAGTCATTTCATAGAATCCCAGGCTGTGGGAGGTGGGAAATTGGGAAAGACTCTGAGGACAGAGAGAGATATACAGTGTGGAGGGGACTGTTTGTGGAGGACTCTGGGCCTTCATGAAAATGCTGTAGGATCCTGGATGCCTGGGAAGGAATGAGTGGGTGGGTGCATATGGAAACAGCTGAGGGGAAAGACTCCAGGGCCTCTAAGTCTCCCTCAGTAATGAGGAACTGAATACACCTGGAAAGGGCTGGGAGAGTCAGGTGGGACTGCTAGTCCCTGAAGAGCAGGTCAATCCATTGCCCATGTGAAAGCTAGGCTGACACCTATGATAGTAATAGAGGAAGGTGCCTGTGTCTACTCAAAACATCACTCCTGGACTCTTCATAGCCCCAAAAGAGACTGGTTCCATGCAGTTGCCTTAATGGATCCCATCAACTATGTCAGTTCTACTGAGACCTTGGTGTTTGCGGCAGCCCTGTGATGTATTTTGACCAATGAAATGTGGTGGGAGTGAAGTCTGTTACCTCTAACAGAAGTGTCTAGAAACACTAAGACTAGCCATCCTCTATTTTCATTTCTAATAATACGTAGTAGGTACCAACATGGTGCTTCTACTTTATCCCAGTCCCAGGGAAACCAGGGTGCTCATGTGGTATGAATGAGAAAGGTACCTTCTTTAGTATAAGCCACTAAAGTTTGGGCCTGTTTGTACCCACTAGCCCACTTTAGTGGGTACTCATCCCCTATTCCCGTGGTCAGCAAACTGCGGCTTGAGAGTTTGGCCACTTGAGTGTGGCTCTTCCACAAAATACCATTGCCTGGCGAGTCTATTTTGAACAAGTGATGTTAGAAAAAGTTTAAGTTTAAAAAATTTGGCTCTCCAAAGAAATTTCAATCGTTGTACTGTAGATATTTGGCTCTGTTGACTAGTGAGTTTGTGGACCACTGCCCTATTCTACCCGTCTAGGAGGCAGCAGAGCCTAACATTAGAAGCCATAGCTCTGTTGTTGGAGACACATACGTTTGACTTCCAGCCCTGCCTTTATTAACTCTACAGTAATTCAAGTTACGTTGACTCTCTGAGCCTGGATTTCCTCCCCATTAAATAGATGGTTAAACCATCTCAGGTTGCAGAGAGGATTAAATTAAATAATAATGCAGGTAAAGCATCAAATCCAGGCACCTGGCACCTGTAGTAAAACGTTCAGTGACTGTTAGCTACTTAGCTTCACAATGTGTACTGACTACAGACATCCAGACAATGTAGCAAATGTCAATTTTTTTTTTTACCTATTTAACCCTTCAAACACTGCTTTGAAACGAATAGGATGGGATTATGTGTATTCTCTTATAGTCTGCTTTTTCTCTAAATGTGATATTTTTATGTTAAATATATAAAAAAAACTCTGACAGCTGGAGTGGCACAGTTGTTTGAGCATCTTCCCATGCACAGAAAGGTTGCCAGTTCAATTCCTGGTCCGGGCAGAAACCAGGTCTCTTGATTGTATTCATGATGGGTTGGGGGCATGCAGGAGGCAGCTGATTGGTGTTTCTCCATCTCAGTTCATTTCTCTAAAATAAACATTAAAAAATCTTAAATATATAACTATATATATTCATTTAGATTTGTAGTCTTCAGGAATCAGTGAAATACTTTCTGCCCTAACCGGTTTGGCGCAGAGGATAGAGTGTCAGCCTGCAGACTGAAGGGTCCCAGGCTTGATTCTGGCCAAGGGCATGTAAC